CTGATTTTGCCTCACGCTGACGTGCGCTGAGGGCTCAACAGCAGCAGACTTGCTGCCCAGTAGCTTCTTCGATGTTGAAGCTCTCTGGCACCTTCTGCTCCGTTGCATCGGCCTTCATAGAGAAAAGAGCTCAGGATAGCATGCCACACAGTGGACACTGACCCGTCTCCACGCAGGGCCTCCGTCATTCCGGACTTGCTTTGGCGATTCGCAGCTTTGCTGACTCAAGTCCTTATGAGGCTGCTCGTGCTTGGAGCCAAGGACGCATGCGCCTTCACAGAATCTACAACCCTCCTATCGCTTCCTGCTCCGGCAGTTGGTAGCCCGGTACCCGGATGATGGCCACGGCAAGCCTGACCAGTAGAGAGATCGGAGACAGGTCACTTGGAATTGCCAGAATCGCACCCAAAATTGCCCAATATGCAAGGTTTGGCAGAAACACACGGAAGTCACTTTAACTAGCTTTCCCGAAGGCCTGCGGCAGGCACTTGCCCTCAGGGCTCAAGTGCCGGAGCCGCTTAAGGCCCTCGCGCAGGGTCTGAATTCCCTCTTGAGCCCGAAGAACAATTTCTTGAGTGATCAAACAAGCCATGTGAGGATATGAGAGCAAGGTTCTTGCTTTCAGGCTGAGTTGCTTGGCCCACCTTGCAAAATCATTTGCCTAGAGCTGCAAAACACGCATTTCTCTGACGAGTGCCGGCGTGCCGCGCTAAAAGGTCAGCACGCGCCTCTCGGGTTTGAGAGTCTGAGCTACCGCTGTGCTGGCCTTGCATGTTGCTGCACCAAGTCGACATCCTCTTCCTCGTCGTCACGTTCTCGTCCCATGATATGCAGCAACTGGCAAAGTATGCTGGAAGAATGAGGCGATTGTCGAGCCAGCGTGTAAGCTATAATCGCAATCAGCAGACAGCGCGAGATCTTTAGAGTCAGATCCGTCCCTCCCTTGCACAGCAGTCGTCTAAGGCACTGGTAGCCCAGGGGCTGGGGGGCGGTCATTGTGCTTCATGCTTCGCCGTAGACATGCTCATGCATTGGAGGATAATGCTGCCCCTACGCAGTGTCAGCGCAACCGGGGAGCAAAACTAGAAGAGCAACGGCTACCGGTTGCCTTACAACAAATTTGAGGATACTGCTTATGTCCTCAAAGGGAACGACCTTGCAATTGCTCTTCTGCACCGCTTGCCATGCATTCCTGGCCAGGTCCCTTCTGTCCACAATGCGTAGGTTGTGAACCCTGGAGCGACCTCTTCTGGACTGTCAGACGGACTTGCAGCAATGCCATGAAAAATGGTGAGCTTGCAGACTTCGCTGGCTACATGAAGCATTTGATAGGCAGTCCAGTCCGGCGCCTAGCATGCGCTTGCGTCCCGGTACAGGAGCCCCCTGAAATGGAAGCTCACTGAAGTCAACATGCACGTGGTGGGACAGTGCCCCTCACATGTCCTGTCACCGGGACGACTTCCACCTAAAACCATTGGTAGGCGCAGATCCAGAAACCTGGAAATCCAACGAGACAGCTGACCACACACACGGATGACACCATGAATTGGCATGGCATGTGGCATGAGGCCTTGGTCGGCCCAAGCGACATGGAGTTCATGCCGCGGTTCTCCTTGTATTTTCTCAGTTTGTTATTGGACGAAATTTCATGAGTCAGTAATCATGATAATTTGGTACGCCCGTTCCCGGCTCCTGCGAAATGGATTTCGGAACAGGTGGCGCTTGGAGCTTCTTGTAGCCTCGACAGCTTGCAAGTGTCAGCATTTTCGAGATCTAAGCGTTCAACCCAACAATCAACACGCTTGCCAAAGTATGTGCCTGTCGCCCGTCCCTCGTCTTATCTGCTGGTTCATGGTTTCAAGAGGGGGGCAACAGCTGAAGGCAGGCCAGGGTGCTGTTGCTTGCGGCGCACATGGAGTCAGAGTACAGAACTCCGTTGCCCAACTCTTGGGCAACTGAACGCTCCTGAGCGGTTGCTGCGGACTTCTCCTTGGATTCAAGCAGCGTCAAGCTTCGAATATCTTGGAATGCTCGAAGCGCCCTTGCATGCTCTTGCAGCTGTTGGAAGGCCGAGCCGCGTTTGCAGACCAGGCCTGGCGGAGCACAGTAAATGAAAAGCGAAGCGCAGCTGAAACACAGGCCTGGCCTCGTTCAGGTGCTGCAAGACTTCCAAAACCTCCCGCGCCCCCTCATAGCCTGTGTACTTGTGCTCCTGCAACGGGCATCTACGGAAGTCAACAAGAAGCAATTGTAGCACTTCAACATCTGCGCCGGCCCCCTTGGCCGCTGTAGGTCAGTTAAGGTCCAACTCCTTGTAGGGATGCTGGAGGCACCACCAATTGAGGATCATGTTCCTTCCGATGGAGCCTCCACAGGGATACCGGGGGGCTGTGGGGCTCAGCAAACGATCTTCACTCTTTCTATCGCAGTCTAACCTCGAGCCTTGGACAGAATGCCACCAAAAGATCGGCAGATAAAACCTCGGATTTAAAGCAGCACCATGCTTTGATCTTTGTCTGCTTATAACCCTTCACAATATCTAGTAATGAACAGCAGCGGAGACTGCCATTGCTCTGGCCCAAAGATCGCAGAAAAACAAGAAACTAATTAGCATGGTTGAAAATTAGTGTCTCCCACCTTCAACTTAGTAGGATCCAGACCTCGCTGCGGATGTATAACCTAGGGAACCGCTCCAATGCCTCGAGCAGCAGATCCCCTGCTTTGAGGTGGACTTTCTGTGGTTGCGCCTGACACAGTATCACTGAAGGAGCACAATCAAAAATGCGACTGCAGACATATCAGAAACGAAGCTTAATCCTCGCTGCTGCAAACGTCAGCTACGTCTCCTTGCTGCCGTGCTGCGTACTTGTAGTTGCCCCAGTTCTTATTGACCTGCACGTCACAGGAGGGTATGGCCCCAATTTCACAGCATGTGTCGCATACAGATTCCAGGATTTTTCAGCGTGACCTTTGGAAGCACGGTAGTGTCCTTGATTCCCTGCTCTGTGGTTTGGGACTGCAACAGCATTTAAGCGCTCGCTGTACACACAGCAGGACAAAGCCTCCTCCGGCACATGGTTTGGATCAATGAAAGGTGGCACGAGTGAGTTGAGGAACTTCTTTACGGTTGTGTGCATGCCTCAGCTTCAGACGCATCAAATCAAGCAGCCGGACCTTTTTTGAAGTGCATGTGGACAGATGCCTGGAACTGCTCAGGTCTACTGTATCTACCGTAAACTTTCTAGCTAGCAGCGCTTCACATCACAGAAATGATAAAATGGCACTGCGATCAGCAGATGTAAATTGCTTGCGCTCGGTGCACAGTAATCTCAGACACGTCGCAGGCAGCATCGCATGGCGGGTAAATGTCCATAAACTTCTCACCCATCACAACATACAGCAGGTTCTCAGAAGGGTCAGAGTGAATACAGGTGGTGTTTCCTCCACAGCCAAAGTAAGTGTGCACTCCCTTGTTGTTCTCGCCGAAGCAGGTTCCAAATTTTCGCCAAGGAGAATTCGGCGAGCTGTTTATGTCCTTCACTTACCGACGAAAAGCAATCAAAGGGTCAATTGCGACCCACCCTTCCATACTTCCATACTGTTCAGTGCGGAAATCTGGCTTGCTTAAGCTATGCCATGCTGTCATGCTTGTGCTGCTGGCTTGGAGGGGAACTTCTGATGCGCGTCAGATAGTACCAAGGTCCTCAAAAAGCTCTGGGAGGTCGGTGTGCAGCGGCAACTTGCCCATATACCAGGAGATACAGGTTTCATGCTCTTCAGCAACTTCCACAAGGTCCAGGTAGTCCTTGGCTCACTGCACTTATGAGGTGGAAATCGAACGGATCTGCCAGAGCAGCTTGAATAGTGGAACAACACCAGGCGAGATGTATACAGCTGATCACCAGCAAGGGCAGAGACTTCAATGTCTCACCTTTTGCACCTCAACCACACCTCCAGACGTGTAACCGAGTGAGTAACCGTTAACTGCAGGGTCAGGGTCTGACACAGAGATCTCAATGGTGGGATCGTTGAGGAAGAGCTGTCGCCCTTTGTTGTCCCAGCATGAATCCCCTTTCACTTTGACATAGCGATGGCCACATCTGGCTCGCATGTAGTCGAAGTCCTGCATTCGTGTGTTTCAGCACAGAAGGAACCCTCTCCTCCAGCAACATGATGCTGTGCGCCGGCTCCATGCGTCTGTAATATAGCGACTATCAAAACAATGAGGCAGAGCACCCAAAAATACTACTTTGACGCAATTTCCACTAAAACACAAAGGGAATGGTTGCTGGTTGTGATACGAAACCTGTTTTTTTGAAGTTGGGCGCACCAATTTGGCTGCTTGGAAAATCCAAATGCAGTCGCGCAGCACGGGATGCACATGCACTCAAAGAAACAAGACACATGCCCGCAGCATAGCAAGTGCATGCGCATGCTACTGTCAGGGAATGAAGGGCGTCTGGTGTGTTAGTTGGGGACTGGCTACAATCGATGTTCGTGGAACTTGAGATCTAATCGGTCCGCGAAGTCAGCGGCTGGAGGAAAGTCTTTGGGATCACACGCGCCCTCGATGATGACAGGCTGGTTTCGAAGAACCTTCCAAACAATTGCTCTACATATCATGAACACGGCCTCGAAAGCTTGGACAACTGTCACATCTATCATATTATAACCATTGTACATGATGCAGCCCAGCAGCAAACTCCCAAACCTGCAGGCCAGACAATCTTCCATCACGTGAATTGAGCTGATGAACGCGGGCCCCATACAACCACACATTTACAAGAATCAACTGAGCTTGTCCGCAAAAAACATAATCCTAATGCTAATGGAACTTCAGCTAACTTTACATCTGGGCAGAGGTAGCAAGAAGTACCAAATTGTAGTTTCCAATTCCCAGGCTATACCTGTGAGATGGGGGTTCCTTGTCGTGGGAGCATATGTCTGGACCCTCCCAGATCCTCGCCTGGGCCGCACTGGGGTTCTTCAGCCGTGCCACTGGTGGTGGCTCCGTGCTGATGATGTGCTGCGGGGCCAAGCCCAACCTTCTCACTGCATCATGAAATTGTTTTGGGAGCGGTGGGGTGTTGGACTCCACGGGCTCGTGGGAATGTTCCTGGATGACGGTATGAGGAGGCGTTCGGGATTTAGGGTTTGAGCAGGCAAAGGATCTGTCACAACATCTGTATCCGCTGCAGACCTTACGACCTTCCAGCACTTCCCAAGCCTGTCATAAACGACGTTCCGCCTGTCAAGAATAAAAGGCCTAGTTTTGCCCGCGCAGTCTTTGCTGCAGAACTTGACATCTCAGGCTCTCATTGAATCCGCTGAAGGCTTTGGAAGAGCAACACCCTCCTGCCGCTACTGACAACACAGCCACTGATGTTCGCCCCCCACCGCCACCCCTTGGCTCCACGAAACACCACACATAAGACACTCATGCCTAATTGCTGCAAGGGGGTAGCACACCTTTCTGGACCCACTGGGCTCACCGCTCAATCACAACCAACCGGCAAATCTGACAATGCTCCACGCCCCCGGAATCGCCGTCAGGAAGCTTTTCATACGCTGCCCAGGTTCGTAACAAGCCTGGATGCGCGCATCTTCTGAAATGCGTGCAGGACTCGGCACAGCTTGCAAGAACGTTGTTGAGTCGAGGTTCCGCACGTGAGGCCACCTGGCGGATTCCGCTCCTCCTTCAGACGCCGGGCTGCCATAAGCCCGCGCGCCCGGGCCTGAGGATGCGGAGGCGAGCGAGGGTGAACATCTAATTGCAGAGACAGAGGTTCACTGGGCTGTGGACTGCTTTCTCCTTGGTTGCTCACTTGAGCCAGAAGACATCCAAACAATGCTTCAAATTCATGCTTCGCAGCAGCCAGCGATGATCCAACGCGATGTGCACGGATCACGGCTGCTGCTCAATTGCATTGTTGCAGAAGGGCTGCCACTTCCCCATCAAGGAATTTAAACAATGATGTTGCACCGAGTGGCCAGTGGAGTCTCGCATCGAAGATTGAGAAAAAACTCTTCGATCTCCGTGCCGCTGCTGTCCTAGGCTGCACTCGAAGCAGAGCAGGCATGGGCCTCAAGAATTCCTTGAAAAATGACAAAACAGTCAGAGGCAAAGAGGATTCATCCAGGCAGCTCCAGCAGCTCCATATATACAATTTAAGAAATCCTGCACAAGAAGCTCTTTCCACAAACAGCAGGAAACAGCTGACATTTGATTCATGTGATGTAATTTCTGGCAAGCTGGTGGTGCAAGCAGTGCAGCCTGACCTTTCTGGTCTAGGAATGTTTGGGGAGTAGAGGCAAGAAACTTATTGTGAGTCTTCATGGCCGACCTCAGCTTTGACCTCTTGGATGATGTTCTGCAGAGGACTCATCCCGATAAGCATCAGAGCTTCATCCGCGAGGCATCCTCAGACAGGTAATTTGTCGTAGCAGAGCTGAAGTACAGCCATTGAAGCAATGTGAACCATAGTCTAAACTCCTAGCATCCCCACGAATAACCCCTATAGCAGTCCCCTATGTAATCCCCTATATCACCCCATTTAAGGAGTGAGACTATAGCTCATGTAGGAATGCCATCACGTTCAGAAGGCCCGCTTCGAGCTGGTGGCTTGTGGAAACCCTTGGCATCAGAGGTTCTAATCACGACAGTGAGGGCTGCACTGCCTGCTATGGCCCTACAGCGTTCATGGTTTATGTCATACTGAGGTAATCTTGCAAACAGCTTGCCTAAGTCGAAGCTGCCAATACAGGTACCATCCATCCAGAATCCAAGCGTCTTATCTCGATGTCACCTTCGGTGATTCGTCTTTGCACAGAATTTTGGATCCGCTGCAGTCCTTCCGTTGTGCCCGGAAGACCATACGCCTCTGCAATGTCCTCAGTCCGAAAAAGTCCAGGCTCGACAACAAGCACTGCACATCCAGAACTTAGGAAGCCTTTCACAACTTGAAGCTGAAACCCCATACCCCGACAAATGCTTCCTTGAGCTTCAAGCTGAAGACAAGAGCAGGACTACGCAGATGCTTCAGTGCAGGCTCCGTCTGGCAGGGCCACAGGAGTTCCCGAAGCTCGGCCATGTGGTCCTGCCGTACTCCAAGTTGAATCAAAACCAAGGTCATCTCGACTTCAGCCATGCATTTCACACCTCATGCTTGAAACCAGCAGAAGAGGAACATGCGCGGGCACGTGGGCCGGAACGTCGTGCTCGTGTGTTTTGGTGTTGGGGTGTGGCGAAGTCGGATACACCTTGCCTCAGAGGCGGCACCGCTGGAGGTGGCTAGGAGCTGTGCTTTTCGCTGCTTCTCCTCGGCATACTCTGCTCGCATTCCCAGTGGACATGCGTCACATAAGTAGCATACCGTTTCGACGTTTGCAGCTACAGGTTTACCCCCAGTACCCCCCACTCATCTCCAAAGTCAGAACCGTGCCGGGGAGTCGCCTAACTTTCGAATGGGTAGGCCCAGAAGACAATGTGCGACCAGGTGTGATGCAGCCAGAAGTCGTAGATCTCTCTGATCTTTCTTTGAAGATCGGGGTCGCTGTATGCGGCTATCAGCTCCGCCACAATCTCCCGCAACTCGTCCTCTAGTAGGATAGGGTTAGGGTGAGGGTTAGAGTGAGGGCTTGAGGCTGGCATGAGACGTCGTAAATGTGAAGGCGGTTAACATTTGGAGGAGCAGACTTGGTGGTTTCCAACATTTGGAGTCCCATGGTTGTCTATCCCAACAGTCATGATGTTATAACGTAGTATCATTCTTGGCAAGGCTCCGGTTCAATCTCTCGCCCAGCTCCGCTGCCGGGGCTCTGCAAAAGGATCACCTGCATGTCTTAGTTTATGCATGCGGGAATTGAAACGGTCAGTCCTCTACAGGCTAGAAACGCGTGTTCGACAGCCTATGATTCATGAGGCAATCACTTCTATTTCTATCAACTTAGCAATGGTGACTGAATCGAGCTAGCTGGGAGTGGCCGAATATCCCTAGCATGCTCCCAAAGAACTCTTGTTGCTTGCAACTCATTGCAGTTGAGCTGCAGCGTCGCGCACAGAACTCACCTTGCAAGCTGCATGCACTTGCAAAGAAGACAGGACACCAGGATTGGGATGTCTAGGGTGCAGTGTAGCCAAATATGCATGGTGATCAAGGTCAGCTTTTGTCTCGCCATCCAGTAAACGTCAACGGACTTCGCTGATGAAACACCAAATCCCAGTGGCAGGGAGCTGCGCGGTCGAGATCATGTCCTTAATAGATCTGAATGGCACAAAACATGCCGGGCAGCGTGGCAATGGCTGTTTCAGTTTGCATGGCAGTGTTCACCCGCTACGCCCTGCAATTCGCGGGTTGCCAAGCAAACATGCGGATTGAGAACAGCCTGTCCAGTGGCTGAGTGTACATCAATGGAAGGTAGCGACCGCTCGGATTCAAAGACCAGGATTGTTTGAGCTGTAAGCTGTTTAGCAGCTGAGCAGTGCACAAGCAGCGCACAAGTATTGCACAATCACCTCTCCTGGCATTGCTGCAAAGGATCTTCTGGCGGCTTTGCTTTGGCTTGAACTGTCTCCATGGCCCTCGATGCTTCTTCACCTCTCCAGCCACTTGCGAGGTGCCAACAAACAATCTAGTTGGGAAATGTTGGGACTTATCTCACGCGTTGCTTCTGCAGACCGTGGCGAGAGGCATCTGCTTGAATATGCCAAGCGGCTCACAGTGGCAATGGATCCCCAGTTCACTTGCATGTCCTTCAAGAAGGAGGGGGATGCCACCATAGCCATTGCGAGGTCGCCCTGCGACAGGACAATGTGAGCTTGGCCACAGATGGAAGAATTGAACTGCTTTGCAAAAGCATGGTCATTCTCTTGTGCTTCTTCTGTTGCGTAGATTTCTTTCCAGGCTGGTTTCTATTGAGACCATCAAAATGCAAGGGGCCGGGTGACCGTGGCAACTTAGTTCAGTGAAGTGCTTCATGCTAAAACACGTGACCCGTCATTGGCCCAGACAATTCTCGGCAAAGCATTCCAGACTGCAGCCTGCCCTCTAAAATCGAAGCACTGACGGCCTGCGCCTCTGCGAGCGCTCTGCCAGGAAAGGATGAGCGCTTGCTCGACCACTGTGGGACAAACCCTACCTGTTCTTAGCAGAGTTGGGCACCACGCATCTTGAGCACAGGTGCTGCGGTTGCCAGCTTCGAATTCATGCGCATGGCTTTCCTTTCGAGTCTAGCCCAATGCAGCAAACAACCAGGACATGACGGAATGTCCTGCATCCGAGTAGAGGGCCACCTGTTTGCTGCAATGGCGCGTCATGAATCTATGGAACAAGCACGGGATATGTGGGCAATGCCACGCAGTCATGTGCTGTCGCTGGCGCTGCCATCCCCGCTTGCGGAATTTCTGGCGACATGCCGTCTCGGCACGAACTCTGCCAGATAACACCACAAGGCCACCCTTGAAACAGCAGAGAATCCGCTGTAGATCCTGCTTAGCAGAATCTTTTTTGATGACAGGACAGAGGAGAAAGCCTGAGCAAGGATATTTGCCTTGGGAAAGGCTGGTGGCCATCAAATGCTGCTCTGCCAAACTGTTCTTGCGGCATGTATGAAATCTGCTGAGGTCGGGCATTCCTCCTGCATCCATGAAGTTGCCCGGCGGCATGTTGCCTCAGCCTTGGAGTGTTAATTGGCGGGGCACTGCGAAGACCTGTCTGCAACTTGCCCAAGAGGATGCACAGGTGCAACTGGAGATCAGAAGCAGCGGGAACCCAGTTGCATGAAGGCATGCTCAAGAACTGCTTCTGCCTGGAAGAGTTGTTTCTGCGCAGATCCACAAGACTGAGTTTAGCCGTACACTTTCAACGCAAACCTTGAATGCAGCAGAATTCGCAGCAGAATGATGCAAACGCCAAGCGCACCAGTGAGAAGAATGCGGAGCGATCTAGAGCCACCTCAGCACTGGGCGCGTGAAGCTAGCACAGTTGACTTAAAAATGTGGAGCAGGAAATCCTCCTAGGCCAACACAATTCCGGAGGACATTCCGCCTGCGAGTGACTGGCCTGTCAAAGTGCTCTCCAGTCATTGAAGCCTAAATTTGTTCATCCTCCCGCAGAGCGGACTTTTTCAGCTTGGGTCAGGGCCAAGAATTGGACTGAGCGTGTTGAGCCTGCTAGCTCAGTGGACTCTACAAGGGAAGCAGCGAAGCAAGTGCCCAACCCGTGCCACATTGCCAGAGATGTCACAGCTGTGCGCAGCGCGGTGTCAGGAGAGCAGGATTCTGCTCTCGGTTGCTGAAACCTGAAAGCTCCATGTAGACAAGACATACTCCGCTGCTCAGTCAGTTGCTCATACGCCACGCGGCGCATGGAAAGGCAAAGAGACAGTGAATCATCAACTTTGCGTGTAAGCGTTGGACACTGCTCGTACAGCTGGACCTGGCATTCTCAAGAAGGGATGCGGCTGAGCGGGCTCTTAAAGCATCTGCAATCAGGTTGGTCAGGCAGTCTCATGGGCTGCGAGAAAAATGCAGCATACTGTACCACCCCAATTCCTAGGAATCTCCTGAATAGATGACGCCATCATGACCTTTGCCATTATGTCTGGAACCTGATGAACTTGCCTCGAGGAGCATCTGTAGAAACTCGTCAAAGCTCAGCCGATTGGAGCGATCAACATCATAGCCTGAGTTTTTCTTGGTGAGCAGCTTTTTTTCCAGAAAACGCCTTGCTGCCCGCTAATCCTTGTGCGAATACCAATCACCAGTCTCGCTTCAGCTGAGCAGCTAAGACGGATGTTATCCACAGCGTCCGCACCTTGGCTTGCACTGCATGCGCCATCGCTGATGCATCTCACCACAAGCTACGGAACTTGGACGAGCTGCCACCAAATGCTGAGGCGCGCGCTCAGGGTCAAACCGAATGCTGCTAGAACACTACCTGCCACACGCTTCGATCACTGCTTAACCCCCTCACTGCACACTGCAGGGCACGACGGCTGCTGAAAATGCAACATGCAAAAATGACAGCGCAAAATCGCCATAGGTCCCAAAAACAAGGAGGGGCGCACCAAGATGCTCAGCACCCAGGCTCCCCATCCTCGAGCAAAGGCTCCACAGGATTTCTCAGGACTTGAGAAGAAACAACCCAATTCACAAGAATGACTCCAGCAAACCCTTTGCATCCGTCGGCCTGTTAAAGTCAAATCTCAGGAAGGTGATATAGCAATCCTGCTGGCAGCTGTCTCTGCAGTCATGCACTCTTCAATCAAGGCGACAGTACCAGACTAGACTGAATGGAAAAATGGCAGAGATCCACTGCCTTGAGATACTGAACAAGGTTCAAGAACTCCTGGTAGGAGAGGCGCTTCCTGCGGCAAGCTTTGCAAGTATTCCGCAGGCAGTGGACTCAGGGCACCTTGCCGCAAGCCATGCTAGGCCCCGCACGCGAAGCGCTCTCCTGCCTGTGCTGGGCTTTGGGTCTTCTGTGCAAAGTCACCCCAGCTCTCACTCTTCAACAGCTGCGCAAGCCTGGCAGGTGCCGAATTTGGCGATGAGCCACCGGCATGTGTTGAGACCTGGGCAAGACGGCACAAAGCCCCCAGATGCGCAGGTTTCTTCTGCTGCTGGTCCTTCCATGCTGCGCATACGACGAGAACTAGCTGGCTGTGAGCCGTGCTAAAAGGCCGGAGTGTCTGGATGGATCCATTGATGACCTGACGCAGCAGCATCCCGAGTGTACAGTCTGCCCTGCTGGAAAAAGCAAATGCAGCAACAACGCCTGGTAGATGACTTGAACACTGCCCAACATCCGTGACAGCCTCAGCATGTCATCAACCCTTTGTCTAGGGTCAGGACAGCTTTGATGTGTAGACTACAGTCGACTACAGCCATGCCTGCTGTGTGTTTTAACATCCCGGTCTCTTACCAGACGGAGCCAGCTTGCTTGCTAACCTCCGGAGTGAACTGTGTCTTAACCTGTGTCCCTTGCACTGGCGCGTGCTTTTGTTAAATCTTAGGAGCATCCCCTCGCCCAAAGGAGACTGAGCCGGGACGCTCCTCTGCCGCGACAGTGGTGCTAAAACGATCCTGCAGTTTCCACATCTCATGCCTGAGTCCAATGAAACGTCTTTGATATCCTTGCTGTTGACGCATGAGCCCCAGACCACTCCGCAGTCATTTGTATGAACTCATCAAACTCGATCCCTCCAGAATTGTCGCTGTCAAAGCTTTTGCCTCCCAGTCTCAAGGAAGGACTTGTTTCATTTCATGCATAATATATCCGCTCAACCTTCACCCCGGCCTATTTGCTGAATCAATGCCTCTGGCAGATTGATCCTGGCCTGAGTAAAAACTGCCATTCTGGTGCAACGATCGCTCGGGCCCGGTACTGTTACATCCACGAAGACTGGCAAGCAGAAAGAAAGCCAGGAACGGTCGACGGAATTGCCGGCAAAGTTTTGAAGCCCCTGGTTTTTAGATGTTTTTTTGGTTGCTTTGCCACAGGTTCACTTAGGATTTGCGCTTTCGGTTCTGCAGAGTTGGCTGTAGTCCACCAGACCCTCCATCTTCGTTATTTCTTCAAAGGTTTCTAAGTCTAAGGACCAGTATCTGCAGATCAGCGACCTCAAGAGCACTCCTATCGTGGACGAATGCTGTCACATGTTTGTGTTGCCGATCCTTCTGAAGGATTACGACAAGAGAAGACTATGCAAAAAAGATGAAAGTTTTGCGATGTGAGCTTCGCTTAAGGCTCCCAACCACCACCACTAAACCCCGCAGAGCCTGCCTTCAACCAGTACCTTACGTGTGATTTCCTCTTCAATGGTTGACTAGCTCCTCGACCATGTCTGCAAGCAGAACACACAAATCAAGCAGTGCAACTCCAGAGCATGAGATGCCAGCCCGCCAGAAAGCGTTGCAAAGCTCCGGCAACTGAAGAGACCCGGAACCCTGCATCAGGGCACAATCTTCAGTGACAATGCTTGAGCCACACAGCGCAAACACTGGCGCCATCCGGCACCACTAGATTGTGCAAGTGCCGCCTTGTTGTCCAGGCTGCTAAATGCACTCTTCATCTCCTGGGAAAACTTGAATATATCCCACCGGGTAAGCTTCTCCTTGCTTGCAGCTCCCATGTCTCCATGTGCCTTCAGGAAAACCATCATGCTGCAGAACTGCTCGAAGTTCCTCAAGTCAAGTCTGCAAGTTGGAGCCAATGAACAATTAGCCTGATGCCACAGTGGGTTTGCAGTATGAAATTTAACCACTGTTGAACCAAAATCTCAGCCCCCTGCAGAAACAGGCTGCCTTGTCCAAAGCGTATAATGAGCCTCTCACACCTTGCCAAGATTCCGAATTCAGCTTCGCAATCAACATAGTCCTGCTTTTGGCCCAACATGCAGTCCCCAGCACATAGGGAGGCACGTGCTCAGATGGAAGGGTCTCTTGGAGCCAAACCTGAGTTGTCAGCATAGCTCATTCGTGTCAAGCTGGTTGAAACTCTGGTTGCATTGTGATCAAATGTCCATTCAATAGTGGTCTGCCAACTTGACCGTTATAGGTCTGAGCTCGAAACATTGATGCGTAGAAAATACCCTGTGTGCTCATGCCTGTCCTGAGCGCCACTGCATTTGATCGAGCCCAATATCAGGGGGCTTTCTGAGTACTTGGCAGACCGCTCATTCCAAGCATGGTGCCCAAAGGTTCCAAAGATCTTTTGATCTCTTCTAGCCTCGATCATGACCAGAGTTGGAAATTTGGTGAGCCTGGAGATGCTTGGGACCTTGGGACCGTGCACCTGTAACAGCTGATTTGGCGCAATCCGTCCAGCACCCTGCGTCTGCATGTCCTCAGCACACGCACACCTGGTTTTCGCATCTTTCTTGCCGCGAACCCGATAAGATGCACACCCAGGCTGCGATGTAACAGTCCTTAGGCTGGACAAACACTGCACATGGGTGCATTCACTGGGCTTACAAAGCCACACGTGCGCATTTTGACGCAATCCACAAAGGTCATCATTGATGTGCATTCATGTGGGCATGCTCATTGAATCCTATGCTTCGTTGCTGCTCCAACACTGTGACACCTCCAACAACACATGCTCCATTGATATCAGGCAGCACTGCTGGTTTCTAGTCTCATCTTGTCTTTAGCTTCAAATCCCTGAGGATGTGTCATGCTCGGCGGCCAGGGCACCCACTCCAGGCGCATTTGCACAAACTCGTCAAACTCAAGGCTACCATCTTTGTCACTGTCATAGCTTTGGCCAACCTTCCCATCTACACAGAGTGGAGGCATCAAGATGCCAATGAACGTGGATGCGCCAAGCACGTGCCTCCACGATTATCGCGGCTTCTAGATTGACTCCTGCGCCGTGTGAATCAAGTTGGTAAAGGGACTTCACAGCCTGCAGCCCCCAATCTCCTGAAAGCTGGAAGGCACGATGGAGCTCTGCAAACCTGGGCTCTTCACCAAACGCATCTGGCGATGCGTGGCTTTACCTACGGCATCCAGCATACGCCGCATCATCAAGGCACACATTTCAACGCTGCCAACACAGCCAAAGTAATGATAATGATAATAACACAGATTAAAATACTAGCCATAAAAATAATAGCAATAATGAAAGTAAAATAAGAATACCAATTGTAATGATTAATAGCAATAGTAACTATAATAACAGTAGTTATAGCCAACACAGCCAAGACTGACAGGCAAGCTCGGGACTCGATCGCACCACTGCGATCGGTGTCAACCTGCATAGGTACATACATGCAATTACACATACATATAAGCTATAGTTAACCTCCTAGTATCCCTCTGAATGCCCCTAGAGTAGTTCCATTTTGAATCCCCCATATAACTCCTTTAAGGAGTTTGGACTATAGCGTACACACACGCACAGACAGTCACAAACATGCATGCATACGTACTTGTACAGATACATATACAAATGCATATACATATACAGATACAGATAAAGATATGTACGTATTCTATTACGTATATACATAGATACATGTACACATATACATACATATACATGTACATGTACACATACATACATGCATGCTTACATAGAAATGAAGGTTCGTTTGATGGTAATCCGCAATCACAAGATCGACTATCCGCAATCACCGCGCGCAATGTCGGCGGCTGTTGCGCTGCTTGACGGAAGCAATTCACGGCATGTTCTTAATCACAACAGAAGGGGGGCCTGGAGGAAGATCATCTTCAGGTTCGACCTCAAGCCAGATGCAATCGGAGTCAGCTGGATGACCAGCCGTGGCCTAAAAGCCACATCTGCCGGGATCTGGTTGACAAGCAAGAAAAGCCAGGGTTCGGTCACGTAGTCCATGAGCTCACACCACTGACCAAGCGCCAGCCTTCCGGAGGTCTTCACTGGGGTATGAGTGTGAGAAATGTGGCTTTGGAATGCCGGAATGCCCAAGGCACCCATGGCATTCTGACCCTGCAAATTAGCACATGAACAGGTTTTATCGGTCGAGTTCGAAGCACTGATGTTAGCTTTCGGTGGGTGCTCCTTGCATCCTACATAATACTCATACAGGATGCCCGGACAGCAAATGCTCCCACGGCTAAAGGGGTGAGGATGTCCGCGGTCAACCTTCGCCGCGTGCACAATGCAAGTCATCAGCTGAGTGGCGGCTTTTAATTATTACCTAGGCCTCCTGCTGCATTTTTAGTCCACGGCCCCTCATCTCGTTCACCTTATATTCAATCTTGTATTGTACCTTGACAAAATCACCTGATCTCGTTCGCCTCTTATTCTGAAGGAAACTGTGGCCTAGCTCGTTCAATCCAGGGCCCCTGTCTAGTTCCATCTAGTTCCCAAAGGAACGAAGAACCCAGATGCAAAAATACCGACGCGCCTAGCCTTCTACTCTCTTACGTAAATAAGTGCGGCTGCTCAGCTGATCACACTGCCTGTTTTGGCTGCCAAATCTTGCCATCAGCCAGCAACAGGTGGACACCTGCAGCGTAACTCCGGACCATGTACTCAGTGCCTTACAGTAAACTCTTTGAATCCTCGTGAGATGCATCCGATCACAGGTAGCAAGGCGCATGAGTCAGTGAAAAGCCTACCCCGGAAGAAAGCACTCTAATGCCTGGAACATGCTAAGCCACCTCTGGCCCCATTTCAAGTCCAGAGATCCCGTGACCCCGGAATCCAAACAAGTGCCTGCCTGGAAGTTTCTGTGCAGCAGGGAGTGCTGTGTTCCAGCCTCAAAGGCTACAATCAACCAGCTGCCAGTCATTCCGCTGTAAAGTCGCCCAAAGATTGACCCCCCACCCTCACAATTGAAGGAAGCCTCGTAGACCCGACCTTAAAATTCTTACAGGTGCGGCTCATACAGCGCACCCTCAGGCAGTCAAGTTTTGTCCTACGGTTGAGGTTTGTATGGGTTTAGGTCTGCATGCTCCGCCTGATCAAAGATTACAGTTTTGGAGGGGCAAAGGGGTCATCAGCTAAAATGAGGAGGTGGCAATCAACCCAGACAGTTCTGAAAACTCTATCACAAGCCATCAGAAGACTATACTGCCTACAGCTGATGGTGCTACTCTGAGAAGCACAAGGAGCTGGGACCGCAGACTTCGACAGTCAGCTTCACGAAGTTCAAGGCATTTGAAAGCCTGACCAGCAGGAATGAAACTGCCGCATACTGACGCCAGATTTTGCGCTGGCACTTGGATTCTAGTATGTATTTGGAGATTATCTAGCTGTGGTGGCGGACACATTCACTTTTGCACGACATCATTGTCTCATGCAGCAGGCCCCTGCACGTCGATGAAGCCCTGCCCGCCGTCAAACTTTGCAAACCTGGAAACCCTGAAGTGAACTTGCAACATGCTCTTGCAACTAGAGGGATTGCCCAAGCAACGCTCAAACAAAGCTCTGACAAGAACGTTACTTGAGCACTCAGCGCTTCCCTGAACTCTGGGTTGGACAGGCGGAATTGCTTTGCCGCCGGATCCTGCAAGAGGTCTGGTCTAGCAGTCTAGGCACGTCTAGCCATGCACACTGCACTTGCAGGCTTGGAGATTCTGTCGGTTCCTGATCCGCATCACCGAACAAGCCGCGCTTTTTTGTGGAAGTAGGCGACAGCCGCGGGGACAGCGAAGGTGAGCCTCAGACATTCTGCAGACCTGTCATGGCTTGACTTCAGCTTCTTGACTGGAGTGTACCTGGCACCCTTCTGTTCACGTCATTCAAGCTGTAGGATTCCTGCTATACGGCGATCCTTGCTGCATGCGTCCTGTCGCACGCACACTTTGCGTCGCTGATACAGCTAATGTAGCTGACGTAACGCATAGCAGTGGACCAACTAAGCTCAACTAGCCCTTGAGCAGCTCAAGTGTTTGGCTTCTCAAGGCCTGGCAGCCAGCAGGCGCCCCAGCGAGTGACAAAAAACTAGAGCCTGCAGGCATGTCCCGGTTCAGCAAGCCACTTGGAAGCAGTAGTGGGCTGACAGCTGGCATGCATTAACAGATCAACAGATCGCAGAAAGCCTTTTCCGCTTTCTAAATGCTCAGTTAGCCTGAACCTTTGGCCACAAGCAAGTCTGGGGACTAATGGCTGGACGTGTGGAGCATTCTCTTCTGAGTGTTGCTGAAATCCTCCATGCTGCAGGGAGCAAAGCATGCCACCATCCTGAGAATCCACATTCCCACTCCTTAAAGGGACTTATATAAGGGATAACAGAGAGTGGACTGCTATAATTAAGGCTCATGAAGTTTAGGTGATAGCTCAAGTTGATTCAAGTTGATTGACTCAAGGCTCGGCCGGGGGTTTGTAGCGACTCTACACAGCTCAGGCCGCGCAGGCCCGCTCACTTTGGAGTTGAAGGTGGCCTTGGAAGCTCTTCATGCACAACAACCTTTTCCTTCTCGCGCTGGCTTCAACTTCTAAATTTGTAACATGGACGCAATGCGAGGCGCCTTCTCAAGGGTCTGTCAACTACGTTTACGCTTGCTTGTACATGGTGTGTATTCTTAAAGTATACTTGTCATCATGGTTTCACTTTGTGCGGGCTTGGTCACGGCGCCGCGCCGCTATCGTGACCCCACGGTACCTGAAGCTGTTCTACTTGCGAACTGAATTGGTCACCAGCCGGACCGGGCCTGAGGACCTTCCCGAAAGCTGGAGGCCGACGCATCCTGGCTGCTCGCCACACTGCCCCCGCAGTTTTTGAGATGGTTCTGTAGCCGAGGCATTGGCCGAGAAGCGCGAGCTCGCCCGGCGGAGGCTTTGCCGGCCACGGCCTCGCGGGTCCGGCAGAGGAGATCTACGCGATCAACATCTTTTCGTGGTGTTCTTGCTGACTATGTGTATCACAGCATCGGCTTTTTGTGCCAAACATCTCAACGTACATGTGGCTTTTTCTCATGAGCCCCTGACGAGCCGCGATGGTTGCCTCCTCCTGTACAAGTCACAGAAACGACACAATCCTGGTGAATTTGGCCCTTGTTCCTTACAGCTCTGCATGCAAGGCTCCTGTTGCAGCTTGCGACGCTGGCCGATCATTGCATGGATCTGATCCTGATGTGGAAGCCTACTGTAGCAAGTTTTGATGTGCGGTCCAAGCCCACTCTCACGCAGCCAGCTTAGTCAGGGAAGAACCACTGTATCAATATGTTCCTATGATTTCAGCCCCACTTGCCTAACTACTTCCGATCTCTAATCTTCCGTGTCAGGCTGATCTCGGGCCAGCACCCGATAATCTGACGCCTCACAATCATGTGTACTCTCTCTCAGGGCCCTCATTCAGCGACATCTCATGAAGCAGAAGTACAAACTGGGCAGCCTGTAGAAAACATAGACGTCATCGTGTGCTGCTGCGTGCATACGGCGCACACGTGGTTGGAGCAGGATTCGGATCAGCCGGACCATGTCAGGCAACAGACGGCTTTATCATACACAAACTTTCAGACGACGGCCCGACGGCACTCTTTGTTGCAAAAGGCATGCTGCAAAGCACAGATCTCCTCTTGGCCACTCAAGGCTCTCTTGTGACTGACGATGCAGCCGAGCGCTGTAATTCGGCGGCTCTCTGTTTTCGACATCGCTGAAGGGCCGTTGCCGCACGTGATGCTCCCCAGATCGCTCCGCTACCTTGGCGCCTTCGCACGAATCTTGTACGCACATCGTCTCCCCCGCTGCCTTGGTAGCACTGGATCCTTTGGCAAATTATGGAGGTTAATCATGGTAAGGATCCCCGAAGATCCCAAAGCCGGACATGTTTTTGGTGGCACTCCCACTCGTACGGCCTACGTTCGTCCGTGGTTTTGGGTCCTTGGGAATTTCATGCACTGCAGGTGGGGCCTGCTCGGTGTGTTGTGGGGCTATGCACCGCCATGTCAGCAAAAGGTGGCCAGGAGAATTACCTCCAAAAAAGCCTCAGTTCTTCCAAATTCGAGTCTCCCAGTACTACTAATTAGCCACCGAGAACAGAAGAACTCGGGCGCGCAACATGTGCTACTATGTTTTCTAACATGTTTGCAAAATCTACAGTTGTCGCTCATGGCTTGTCACCGGGCGCTGTGGAAGCGAGAAGACTTTCTCAACCTCCCTGGCTAGAAACCTACCACATCAGGATGAAAAAATGGGGTAGCTTATTGAAAAGAAAAAAGAACCGCTGTAAAAGACAAGCAGAATTCATGCGCTTCAGTGCGCACACGGGCACGCAGTACCCACGGAGAGACCGTTTTTTTATCGCTTGAGGCCGGCATCAGGCATCAGGCGTGCGAAGACTTGTCAAACTATAGGCGGAGCGTGCCTTCAGCTTGGTAATGTCGCTGATGGGCATTCGAATCATCTTGTCACATCTCAGCTGCCCACAGATGTAATGTTGACTCAAGACTCCAGAGCAGCGGCATGCATGCATGCAGTTGACACCTGTTCTTCAGAAACGAGCGCCTGACAAAGGCTCAGCTTCCTGTCAGGTGTTGAAACTCAACCCACAGGGCCCTGCCCTGCAGGAAGCTGAAGTTGCTGGCCTGGCCGTAAAACTTCTCCAGGAAAATGTCTTGGAGCGCAATCTCCGCAGAAGGCCTACGTACCAGTGAAGCTATACCAAACGTGAGAGTCGCGTCGCGTTCAACCCCCTGTACTGCCATGCTACCCGCCAGCAACTTGAAGGAACCTCAAGAGCAGGCCTCTTGCCCAAAAAGATCTAGATGCTAGATATCTGAAGGTGTATAAGAGAAGCCCTTGAACACTTCTGCCCTAACTAGCACCAACAGACGCACCTTCTGTCAGGGTTGAACTTCAGCAGGTTCAGGGTCAGCGTCTTAGCCTGCACAAGAGGAAATCACCCCGTAGCGCATGTCAAGATTCTGGAGCTAGAGGGCCCCAGAAGGAATGGAGTGCTTTCTGATTGTTGGATTTTACACCCATGCAATTTCATAAAGTTCTCGTCTGCCTTCAAGGTATCGGAGTTCGTGTGTTTTGTGGAGTTTGCTTGATCTGCTGGTGTTGCAGGGTTTTCGTGATAACTAATAGAGGTCTTCTCCGGTCTTTTGCGTTCGCCTGTGGGAATGAGTGGAGGATCTTGCCGGGCATTAATGCCCGCCCCTCGAATCTGAGATCGGATTTGGCTCGCTGAACACCCATCACCAAAACAAACGAAAGTGCTACTCAGCTGGTTCTTCCATTATCCAGGGACGCGTGCCACCATGCTGAGGTTGTTTGACAAGTGCGCTAAAGGCAACATTAACAAGGATCATCTGAAAGCAAAAGTAAGACACAGTTCCCCCTATTCAGAATGGAGCTCGCAAAAGCTTTGGTGGTGTCGTGCTACCTTCATGGTGAAAGCAAGATACCTTTACGCACTCAGGAATTCTTGTCGCGTGGTGCGAGCGCACACGTCCTGGCGTCTCTTTTTGCCTTGCTTTATGGGGCGGACGGGCGAAGCACCAGGCCATATTTGGACCCTTCCCACGTCTTTGGTGTCGAGTTTGGTTCGTTAGACGCTGCGTGGAAAAGGGGTCCACAAACACAAGTCCACCATACAAGGATGTAAACAATACTCGCAATTACCTACACTCAGCACAGCATCGTTTTGGGATGTTTTGGGGTTCTCGAAGTGAGCCACGGGTGATATACGCAAACAATTCAATAACCAGATCAGTAACATCAAGCAAACAGCAGGTATGAACAAGATTCGAGACCTCCTGTACATCAAGCGGCATGTTGACAAACTAGGGCCTTTCACGGGCATCTCTGCAGAACAAAAAGGTCCTGTGAAAATGTGGGGGGGGGTGCCAAAGAATCATGTGTAGTCGTCTCTCTCGTCACAATCAACAGCACAGCAAGCCAGGCCTGGGCTGGGAGCTTCAGGAGGAACAGCACGCCAGAACTTAGTCCGCACAAGGAGCCGGTCAAAGTGGCAACTTTGTCCGGAATTTGTTTTGGCTACTCCCGGTTCATCAGACCCAGAACTGTCCCTGTTTACAAGCTATGTGGGCAGGGCAGGTAGAGTTGGGTGGCATCCCGACATGAAGACACCAATCTGTCACAAAGACCTTTTCTGAGCCTCTAGCGATGGCATCTGCCGCACATTTCCCAGGTTTTCCAACTTGGCGCTGAGAAGCTTTTTTTTTACAGCTGTCTTATTGATTATTGTTCTGATTTGAGCGGCAGAAACCTGATGGTTTGCAAGTGGTGCAGGACCCAACATCATCCAACAGTTCAACATTTGTCCTCAGAAGCCAGCCATGGTCCGAGCCTCGGCAGTAGCTGACGTCAAAAAGCCGAAGATCTTGGGCTCTTGCGTGCAATTTTGACAGTACATAGCAAAGGATGGCAAAGGCCAGGCTGGAGCTGAGGCTCAGGCATACTGGGATGTTGTGGTGATGGGACCTCGGTGCGAGATGAGGATCTGGCTCTAGACTTCCAACACTTCCCTGTGCTGCGCCCATTAAAATCCGAGCTTTCTGCGCAAATCTTGCTCGCTTGGCTTTCCGGTCCTCGTGTCTCTGCCCAATGACAACAAGTGAGTAGCGTTTTTTGGTGGTGAAACCTAGTAAGATTATAGTATTCCTTATATGAGATACTATACCCCAAAAGGAGGAATATAATCGTATTCTATATTGGGTACCATAGTATCCCCAAACAAAACACTACCCAAGTGTTCTGAGGTTTGCCTCTGGCACACGGCAGCACATGTTCCCTCAAGAACGACATGCATCATCTGCATCTAGTGGTTACAGTAACCGAGACTTCCGAGTTCCCCGCAGCTCAACGACCTTGCGACAAGTGTGCACGTATCCCTGCACTCAACCTTGATTGCGCGTCATCCCCTTGGTTACATCTCGTGTGTTAAGCTGTCGTGTCACCTGAAACGTCTTGAAATGTCGGGTGATGTTGGGGCAGGATTACGGCCACTCCATGCCACTCACGTGCACCACTACATCCGAGAGGATAGTACAGGGAAGCAGCAACAGTTGCAATTCGGACTTGGGACCTCCGTCAATCTGCCCTGCTTAGCACGAAGCAATTTGATGGTTTGGATTTTTCTCGCAACTGGTTTGTCTGGCTTGGCTGAGCGGTTGGGTCTCATGCCAGGGCATGCACATGGTAATACCGCCATGCATCATTTAGAGCGCTGGGTCTTTTCATTTCACCGGGTGCAGCATGAACTTCATGCCACAGCAAGCCTTCTCAAGCTGGTCCATGGTAGACCTGCACTGCTCATGCTGCGCAAGCACGCAGAAAAATTAATTTGCTGAGGCTTTGATAGGCTTTCAATGTCGAATCTTGCTACTCCATTCTTGCAGGCAGTCTGTCAAGGCCTTCCGCGCAAGATCGGCTTGCCAGATACCTTCAAAAGCTAAAGGATTTATGTGCTGCGTACTGCCTCAATGCCATGCCCTTGTCCAATCCTGTCTAGGTTCCAAGCCATCTCGCCAAGAATGCAGCCAACACTCCACATGTCCACTCCCTGCACAAGGAGACTTCAAGCGCTTGCCTTCATAATACACCGGACCAACAACAGCTGAGTCTAAGAAAAGCATCAAGCTTCAAAGTCAAGCCTCTGAGTAGAGCGTGGACCCAAGTAGTAGCTCGGGTGCTCTGTACCAGCCTCGGCAATAACCCTGCTGCCCACCACGCGGCATGGCTCGTCGCCAAGCTCGCAACGCGTGGCCACATAGTCTGTGAGGAGTGGCATAGCCTGCCATGAGCTTCAGGCGCACTCAGCATCTCTCCAGTATGCAAAGCTGACACTCATACGGTCACGCTTTGATCATCTTGATCAGCATATCTGAGACAAGAAGCAGCATTACACTACACGTTCCTCGTCAGCAGCGGCAGAGTTCCGCCGCCTGGTACGCAAGGAGGAGTGTTGCTAGTTGATCCGAGCGCTTACTTGCCGCCAGCATGCCCTCCGGCTTGAATCCCCACAGGCAAAGCAGTTCTCGCCAAGCCTTCAGTGTTCGCTAACATGAGATACCTCGACTCCTCTACCCCTATCCCAAGGCACAGACCAAAGTCGCAAAGGCGAACATGGCAGTTCCTGGACATGAGATGATTGGAGATCCCGAAAGTCGGTGCTGCCATCTTGGCTGTCTGCAATAGAGCTCGCACTTTTTCAGCTACCAGCTTGAGGCTCGGTCGAGTTGAGCAGCACATTGGCTGGCTTTAGGTCTCGGTGCAGAACCTTAGAAGCTCGCAGGGCTTTATGACTTGAAAGGCACGCTTCCAGTGGAGCGAAAGGGTGAGAAGAGCAGCTTGAGCCTCTTGCGCCTCCTGAATGGACGTACTTCAGAGCCTGCCGTGTCTTCGGCAAAACTCAGAAGACCGGATCTCTGGCAAGCAAGCCTTGAGGATCTGGTAGGTAACGTACTCAACATGGATTGGTTGCAGCCTTTTTGTTTTCATTTCAGGCGTCATCGGAGCCGTGAGTGGGCTTTGGGGATCGAGCAAGTTTCCCGCAATTGCTCGCTGGAGATCGGACCTTCGAAGTAGTACAACATAAAATGGTACAGCTTGCCATAGGCAGAAACATGTATTGTCGGCTCACTACAACTGTCAAGCGCGCGTGCTCACAGGGCAAGGGTTGAACATCTGAGCCGCAAACTCCATGAAGTCGAACATCACATACAAGTCCTGCATGAGAACAAGCATCTCACGAGACAGTTCGATACAGAATGCCAAACTGAAATAGCATGCACAACGGACTCCATACAGATCAGCTAATGGCTTCAAGTGTCTTACAACCGTTGCACATGTGTCCTGGCTGCTCTCTGCTTTCAGCACCTGAGCCGCTGCCACACTTGAGCTCTAAGGGTGATCTTGGAAGTGCCGTTGCCTGGGCATTTGACCTTGCTGAGTCTTGCCTAAACTGCTTGTACGGCTTGTTTACACCAACATTCCAGTAGGACCCAGTAGGAGCTCATTGAAGGAACACCGATCTATCTTCCCATGCTTGCTGCTTGTGAGGCAGGCACATTCATCAGCCGGACAATGTTTTCGTGGCCATTCAGCTCCTGGCCCCAGCAGTCCCTAGACCTGCTTTTGATGTGTCTCCTCGAAATGGGCACCTGGAGAAAGATGATCTCGCGGAAGGTACGCTGCGCATCCGTGGAATTCTGGAATGCATCGAAGCATTTCTTCAATGCAAAAATCCTGGGCATCTCTGTGCTTCCTGCTTCTAGCTGAGACAAGGCCAGCAGCAAACTGCAGTACATCGCTCCAGTCAAGAACGACTTGAATAGCTCAGCAGAGATGTTGCCGCTGTTTGAAACACTATCTCACATCGTCAAATCCTATACCACCTGAAGATGGTCGCCTGCCCGTTTCTTTCTCTTTCACCTTCCAGACCTTGCAAATGGCTTGCATGAAACTCACTTGCTAGGTCAGGGCACCAGAGCACGGCCAGCTTTGCGTTTCTGCAAGAAAGGTGCGGACAATGCCGTAGGCACCCTTGCCAAGCAATCGGACCTCAGAATTGCCAGCATGTTGAGAAGCAATGAACGCAAAATTGGTCTAGCAGCCTGCATCTGCAGCTGGGCGCACGGCCACCTCAAAGCGCTTCAAGAGATGGGCATCCGGCAACTCCTGTCAGCAAACACTGTCGATGGCGGAGGATGTGCACTGCTAAGGAAGCCATCGGCTGACAAAACCTGTCAGCCGTCATGAGTGCAGAGTATGGAATTTCATGGACAAGCCAAACAGCAGGTCAAGAGACGGGCAAGCTGCACTCGTCAGCAGTCAGTTCTTGCATAGGGTCAGCTAAGTCACAGGCATTCTTCCCCTCCGACATGTGTCCAGCGCATTACTTGCACACATTGCTGAAGGCGCTGGCGAATGCTTGAAAACTTGAGATAGGGGTGGTCGTCACACGCCTTGCGTCTATAATGAATATATACCTTCCTCGTACTTAGTAGCAGCCAAATATTATAACCTACTGGTGGCTTCACCTTGATTCGAGGCTGCCCTGGTCCCCGACTCAGGAGCCTGAATGCCCAGCAACAACCACAAGCCCGGCTACATCATCGCTGGAGCACGTGCGCAAAGCCAACTCTTGGGATCTTTTTGCGGCTCCAAGCAAGTGCGAGTGCTGCGTTGCAGCGCACTGCATTTAAGGCAGCTGTTCAAATGCAGGACCTCCTTCTGAGTCATGGATGATTGAACAGTAAACATTGCCTTCATCATCAAGTATTGCACTTTGCAATTGCCTGGTGGGATATTCCACGCTCAGTCAAAAATTCTCCGCAAGGCGCCTGCTCAAACGCAGAAGGGGGCGATGAAGCTGCTTTACCTTTGTACACGCTACTTCTGCCTTGCTCAGGCAGGTCGCAGAACGGATTTGCGCACCTAAGCATGCACAGCACCACGGCAGCAGTGTAAAACATACACGGACAGAGCTGCACCGAAAGTGCCGGTATGTGCGCAAACAACCTGTAAAAACTCTGCTTGCAATCCCTTCTTTTGGCCCTGTGTCGCGATTCGGCAGTCACCACGCGCAAAGCCCAGCCGAAGAGTGCGAACAGTTCATTCAGCAGCTTGTGAATCAGGATGTCAACGCGTGTATGTTGCAAATGCAACCGGTGGGCAGCTGCGCGTTCGAGAAAACAAAGATGTCAGGAAATCGATGACGTTTGGATGAAGAGAGTAGGCGCGACGCCAGACCCGCACAATCGCAGGCAATACAGTTGATGCGTCGTACCCCCATTTGCCTGCGGACCATCCCGTCTCGCAGGGACTCGGCACAATCCCTTTTCCAGCAAACCAACTATGATAGCATTTGTTCTGCAACAGCTACAATCTTCCAAAGCACAGTGGCGGATGCTGGCAGAAACAAGTGACCTTACGCAACTGAGTATGGCACAGTTTCATCTATGCTGCAAAGGGGAGAGCTTGTCCTGTCACACAGACAAATTGGGATCTACACATGCAGCTCCTCTCTTAAATGACTTGCGGCCTTGCACAACATGTCGGTCAACCTTTGCAGGCCCGAAGCCAGCTTCGGGTGACGGCACCAGAGAGGTGTCCTCGATGTTCGTGGAGTCTCTTCTACCTGCGCCCGGTCCTTCCCCCACCTAAACCAAAGACACACACAAGTTGAAGGTGCTGTGTCAGCCAGCTTGCCAAGCCACCATCAGCTATTCGCTTTGCCCACGGAGGTGCGGGGCCATTGTTGGCCGCGGCGGTGGCTTGCGCTTGGCGGCGGCACCTTGGATACAGCGGTTGTGCCTTAAGCTGCAATCAAAAGGCGGCCCGCCTTCAGCTGCTGGTTCTGAGCTCGGCCGTGGCGAAGGAAGAGGTGGAGGTGGCGGTGGCCCTGGCGCCGGCCCTGGCGCCGGCCCCGGCACTGATGTGGCCTGTGCTGACAGCGGCACGTTTGGCACCGGCTGTACTGGAAGTGGCCTAGGTGGAGGTGGAAGTGGTGGGGGCAAAGCAGGAAGTGAAGGCGCTGGAGGTGGCAGTGGCGGCAATGGAGCCGAAGTGCTGCCTGCCAGCTGCACTCCTGCAGCGGGGCACTGACATGGTTCTCGGGGGGGTGCTGCAGGAGGGGGAGGTGGTGGTTTTGCGGCCGGACTTTGCGGCGGCAAAGGGGGCGGAACTGAAGCAGGCAGCGCTGCCTGCAAGATCGAAGAAGGCTGTGTTGCTCGTGGAACCAGTGTGGCACAAGGGGGAGGTGCTGTTGGAGATGCCACCGGTTGTGCTGGTGGTCTTGTTTGTGGCCGTTGAGGCACAGCTGAGTGAGGCATCTGCGGAGGTGTTTGAACAGCTGCTGGTTGAGGAAGTGTTGCTGGTGGCTTGTTTGGCAAGGGTGGTGCATGCGCAAGTGACTTTGACATGTGCTGCGTTGCACATGGGGGTGTTGCAATGGCTGGAGGAAGCATCCCGCGTGGTGGCACAGTTACAGCCATTGTCACAGCAGAGCCCTTATGTAAAGGATGCATTGCTTTTGATGGGAGACTAGTGCAAGCTGTCGAAACTACAGATGCCGTTGAATCTGCGTGTGGCTTTTGTTGCGCATCATGGGTGGTACCTAAGATTTCTGGTTTGCGCGTAGCTTCCGGTACTTCAGGCAAAGAGCCCACACCCAGCGCAGGGGCCGTAGGCGGTGGCGGGTTTGAGTGTATTGAGGTAGGTGGTAATGAGGGTGGCGGAGAGGATGTCGATGGCAAGGAGGATGGCATTGAGGGTGGTGGCATTGAGGGTGGTGGCATTGAGGGCGGTGGCATCGAAGGTGGTGGCATTGAGGGCGGTGGCATCGATGGTGGTGGCAACGAGGGTGGTGGCAAAGAGGGTGGTGGCAACGAGGGTGGTGGCAACGACGGCTGCGGCGACGAGGGTGGGGGCAACGAGGGCGGGGGCAAGGCGAGTGGTGTGGAGGACGGCAACGAGGGTGGTGGTAACGAGGGCGGTGGCAAAGGAGCCATTGGCGGAGGAGGGAGTAGTGGTCTTGGAGGAGGTGGCGGAACTGCTGGCGGGTCAAGTGTGAAAGGCAATGCTCCAGGCGATGGCAACTTCCTGCAGTTTCAACTCACACTCTTCCTCGATGTCCAAGCGCAACAATCAATCTTGAACTTGCCATTACAGTGTAACTTTGCAAGACGTATCATGGACATGAAGGCCTGGGAGGCGACGCAGCCGCCACATTTCTGTTGCGATGCGAATCAACAGTCTGGCCAGGATTGCTTGCCTTCCATCTTAATGCAAACAGAATTGTCTTACCGGACTCTGCATTTCCTGGCTTGCCCTTGTCAAAAACCTCCGGCTGAAAGGTCTGCAACTGAAATCCATCGCCTGGGACTCTGAGGATGATGGAGCTCGAGACTTCCGCTTGGAAATATCAATTTTCGGCTTTCTTTTCTCCTTTTTACCTTCATCCGTCAATGAACGACGAAGAAGCTACTGAAGACTCTTTCCCAGCATCTGCTTTGGCAGCACCATGCCTGCAGCATTGCCTTTACCGCGTTTACTTTTGTTCTGGTCTTTATCCTTTGCCTTGCTCTTCCCCGAGCCTTTGCCGTCCATCTTTCGACCTCTGGCTCCTTTGCCCTCAGGACAGGTGCTCACGTGGTAATGATTTTCTGAGCCCTTCGCATCTTTGCTAGCACGTCCAACTCAATGTTGCTTGACCACTCCAAGCTCCGTGCTGATCTTTTGGCATTTCGATTTGATTTTGCACGTTTGGGCGCTCGAGCCTTAGGCATGGAAAAGGCCTTGCCCTCAACCAGTGAGACACTTCTCATCACCTAGACCTCCTGAGTCCCTTCAGTGACTGGCCCTGTCGCTGGGAGATAGGAAAGGATCTGCGACCTGTGCCAGGCATTCGGTCACCAGTATGATTATGGTCCTCATGCATGAGCCTTGGCCGGGAGGGGTGCTTTGTCCTGGGCCACGCTGAACGCAGCACGTAAGGAAAGCTCTCTGCAGCCGGGGACGCGACAACTTTTGTAAGAGACACCATGAAGACACCATCGCCTCTGTCTTTCACTTTGAAGCCTCGGTGACACAACTCTACGCCGCTGATCTGGGCATGAAACAGACGTCTTGATTGTGAAGCAACTTCACATTTAAACAGAAAATAGTTCCAAGCGAAGGTGTCAACTTTAGCATCACTCATCAACCTTGTGCAACGACAAATGCTTTTGTTCCTCTTCTGTTGGGTCTTGGAAGCTGCTCCCCAGCGATCGGAGGATTTGCACCAAAGCGCTCTTCCCTGGAAGCTCCTGACAACACCCGAAGCGTATGCACGCTGACGTGATGAAGCGCAGGCTACCAGAAAATGTCTATATGATCCAGCCTCCTTCAACTGAGCAATGTCAGAGCAGGATTCGAGCTCAGCCATCGACACTTTGCTGTTCGCTTTGCGAAGCACCTGGAATGGGGTGCACGGACAATGACCATTGAACAGATTTGTATGTGCCGACATGCGCATCTAGCTTGCTGCCATGTGGCTTCTGTTGTCGAAAACCGGATCGCCTGAAATCTATCACTGGCAAAATTAATCACAGGGGATAGGACTCGCAGTGTCCGATTCTCTGTGCAATCCTCATGTTGCAGTGAGCCGCCACTGCATCATGGAGACTGGTCAACATGATTTTCACCCAATCTGAATAGCATGCTACCGTACGTATCACTCGGCTTCTATGTCGGGAGATTATTGATTGCTTCGTTCAACATTACCTCTGTGCGCCAGTGCCGCTGCCACGCAAGGTGACAGCCCAAGCACAAAGAACGCCGCTTTTGTCAACTAGAGCTCTGCTGCTAGATGAACCCAAGGAACCTTGGAAACATCTACACGCACAGCAAGACTGTTGGGTCTGGAATCTGGTTTCGCAACACAATTTTAGAATGGAGATGAGTGGAGGCTCGAACCCAACTGGCCCTCCAGCTCACTGCCTCCAGCGTGCCCAGTACACGCTCTCTCTCTGAGAGATCTTCTTCCTGATGCCATACGTGCAACAGACAGTACGTATCAAAGTCAGACGCAGGCCCAGCCTCAGACTCCATGCCTTCCATGTCCTTGGGATCTGCATTTTAGAGAAGAGGGGATCAGCGGGATCATCTCTAGATATCACTGGTGTCCAAGCCTTCACGAGCCAACAACGGTTTGTTTGCTGTCCAAGGGTCGGTGTCTTGGTGCAGCCCGAACTCCGTCCCAGGCCCCGGTGCCTCCCGACATGCACATATGATATATCCACGCCATGAAAGCATGGCCATCGCTTGCTAGTAGGATCTCATGTAAGATCTCATCTAGTAGGAAGCTTGCATGTGTTTGGGGGGCGCATTTCGGCTAGACAA